GGAGCCCAGCAGGTCGAGGCTGCAGTGACCGGGAGCGGCCACTGCACTCCAGTCTGGGCGCCAGAGTGAGACTCCAACTCATAAATAAATAAATAAATAAATAAATAATATACCAGAGGAGACCCCCAAAAAACTGGAATTTATTTATTAAAAATTGTATATTTGTTCTTCCATGTTTAAACTTCAGTCACTTTCAAAGTACTCTCCATTGATGCAATACACCTTGCAAGATGCTTTTCCCACTACTCAAAACAATTTTTGAACTCATCAATTTTGATACCTTTCAGTGCTTCTGCTGTTTTTTGCTTTACCTCCTCCACATCAGCAAAACGTTTCCCTTTGAGGACTTTTTTCATCCAGAGAAACAAAAAAACGTCACTCAGGTTGAGACTGGGTGAATAGGGAGGGTGGGGCATGGGGGTCATGCCATTTTCAGTCAAACGCCACTGAATACTCAGTGAGGTGTGCGCTGTCATGGTGGAAGAACCAGTCACCTGTTTGCCACAACTTGGGATGTTTCTTTTGCAAATCATGACACGACCTTTTCAAAACTTCCAGATAAAAACTTTGGTGGACTGTTTGATCAGGAGGAACAAATTCTGAGTGTACTACAAGGGGCCTGTCCTCCAAAAACTAATTCTGGGCTTTTTTGGGTCCCCTCTCAAAATAATATCTTTTTGTACTACATTCATCTACTGGACCATGATTGACTGTGGCTAACTAAAACAGCAAAAAGCAAAACTCCAAATAAGAAGGGCCTACTGTAGTAATAAGACACTTTAATACCCCACTTTCAAGAGGGATAGAACACCAGACAGAAGATCAGTAAGGAAATAGAGGATTTGAACAATATTATAGACCAATTGGACCTAATAGATATATACAGAACACTCCATAAACAACAGTGGAATACACATTCTCATGTGCACAAGATACATTCTCTAGGACAGACCACATGTGAGGCCACAAAACAAATTTTAAAAGTGTGAAATCATAGACAGTATCTTTTCTGATCACAATGGAATAAAACTAGAAATCAACAGCAGGAAGGAAAACTAGAAACCCGCAAATATATGTAAATTAAACAACACACTCTCAAACAAGCCATGGGTCAAAGAAGAAATCACAAGGTAAACTGGAAAATAATCTCAAGACAAATTGAAACAAAGATTCAACATACCGAAACTTACAGGATGTGTCAAGAGCAAGGCTAAGAGGGAAGTTTATAACGTAAATATTTACATTAAAAAAAGAAGAAATCTCAAATAAACAATCTAACTTGCCACCTCAAAGAACAAGAAAAAGAATAAACTAAACCCAAAGCTAGCAGAAGGAAGGAAATAAGGAAGAATGGAGTAGAAATACATGAAATAGAGAATAGAAAATCAAAAATGAAACTAAAATCAACAACACTGACAAAACTAAGGGAAAAAAGAGAGAACATTCAAATAGCCAAAATCAGAAATGAAAAAAGTGGTACACTTTCTAGTAGCACAACCAATGCCACAGAAATAAATGGAATCATAGGAGGATACTATGAACAATTGTATGCCATCAATTAGATAACAGAAAAAATGGATATGTTCCCAGAAACTAAACACAGATTTAGTCATATGCCCAATATAGCTACAAAATTGTGCAAAGCAGGAATTGAAATGGAATCTACCTGATTTCAAAATCCATGTTCTTGCTACTATGAAGTGGTACATGAAGTATGCTGCTTTCTAAGTCTGTTAGTAGATCTGAGTAAATGCATCAAAAGTTTTCCTCTAAAGTGTTAGCAGAAAAAGAAACAATGTAAATGTAATCTTTCCTTTTCATGCCTATGTAGATTTATCTGGTATCAGCCTGGATTCCACCATTTCAAGCTGTGAGTAGTCAAGAAAAACTCATTTATGTTAACTTTAAGGATGCAGAAACTTTGTAAGGGTCAGTGAAAGTGAAAGAACTCCTGTAAAATGTCCTTTCTTTTTTTCACTTTGGATCATCTCTCTGTTGAGGACTGCACACTCCTAGGCACATGAAGATGAAGCTCCAAGTATGAACTCCACTGTTCTATTGGTTACTGGGACAGCATCATAACTCTTAAGAAACTATTAAAATTACTACTAAGGCAACATTAATGTCATCATTATCATCATCATCATGTCCATATGTAATCGTCTGCTGGAAATCCTATATTTATCTCAAATAAGCCCTCTCCAAACTAAAATAAAGATTCAGTCAGCAGCATAAGCAAGGCACAGAAAAGAAATACTGCATGTTCTCTCTTATGAGGGGGGAAACCCAAAAAAGTCAGATCCCTTGTAGTACACTTGGAATTTGTTCCTCCTGATCAAATGGTCAACCAAAGTTTTTATCTGGAGTTTTGAGAAGGCTGCGTCACAATTTGTAGAACATGTTTGCAGGGTGTTCAGCAATTTTTGACCCAAAATAGCACAACTTCCATGTTCCCTCACTATTCCCCTGATCTCGCCCCAAGTGACTTTATTTTGGTTCCCTGGGTGAAAAAAGTCCTCAAGGGGAAATGTTTTGTCGATGTGGAAGAGGTGAAACAAAAAACGGCAGAAGCACTAAAAGGCACCAAAATTGACAAATTAAAAAACTGTTTTTTAAAACTGTTTTGAGCAGTGAAAAAAGTCTCAATAGTCGTAATGCATCAAACGGAGAGTACTTTGAAGGTGACTGAAGTTTAAACATGTAAGAATAAATACACAACTGTTTATAAATCAATGCCTGTTTATTTGTTTTTTAGTTCCCTATCATTTGTGACAGCTACAAAAGTTTATTTCACCGAGGTTGAGAGTAGAGTGATAGTAATCAGAGCCTGAGGGGTCCGTGGGGGGAATTAGGTTAATGGTTACAAACATATAGTTAGTGTTAAATAGCACAACAGGGTGACTATAGTTAACAATATAGAATGTATTTCAAAATGGCTAGAAGAGAAGCTTTGAAATGTTCCCAACACAAGGAAATGATAAATGTTGTAAGTGATGGATATCCTAAGTACCCTGACTTCATCAATATACATTCTATGTATGTATAAAAATAGCACATGTACCTAATAAATATGCACAAATATTATGTATCAAATTATTTTAAAAAAAGAAGCAGCAGTGGTAATTGTGTAGTGGTTAAGACATGAGTTAGAAAGCCTTGCTCTGTTGTGTATCATACATCATTCAGCCTCAGTGTCCTCCTCAGTAATGAGGACTGACACAACCCACCTGCTACAGTACATTGCTGTACTCATAGAATGAGATTGTGTACGTAAAGCATTAAAGACAGTGCTCAGCACACAGAGAAGGCGATCTATGGGCAGTATTATTATTATCATCCCCATACAGATATTCAGCACACAGTTACATGGATGGCTCTCTCTTTACAAGTAAAAGCATGTACTGCTATCATTTTAGATACCAGGTTTCTTCATAATTTTACCTTCATATCCTCTCTCCACTCATTCATACCATAGCTCTTAGAAATTTCTGGTTGGAAAATAAGCATTTTTGCCATGGATGTAGCCAGACGAGTTAGAGATTGACGACCACTTCCTCCAAGTCCAACAAGCAAAGCATTTCCACCAGACTGCTTTAGAACTCGGCATATTCTTGATAAATGTTCTAAAACATACCTACCACAAAATTATAATCTTATTATACATGGCAATATAAATGTAAATGTATATTTACATGTAACTATTGTTTTACTTTCCTAGAAAGATGTGACTTTGTTGTCCCATATATTACTATCTAAATTTTAAAGAGCTTACTATCAAAAAGTGTGATTTTTTCAAAGACCAATTGGCTTAGAAAATTGCAAAAGAAGTTACAATTGGGTCATTTGATATAAAGAAAGCTAATTAAAAGTTCAAATTCAGGAAATTTAATATACAAGTTATGCAAATAGAATGAAATTTTAGCTGCTTATACTGGCAGTATATTATTGCTTTTATTAAATACATTTCTTCAATTTCTTTTTTTTGTTTTTTTTTTTTTGAGTTAGGAGTCTCACTCTGTCGCCCAGACTGGAGTGCAATGGCCGGTCCCGGCCACCGCAGCCTCAACCTGCTGGGCTCCGGCGATCCTTCCGTCTCAGCCTTCCAAGTAGCTGGAATTACAGGCATGCGCTACCACGCCCAGCTGATTTTTTTTTATTTATTGTAGAGATGAGGTCTTGCTGCCCAGGCGGGTCTTGAACCCGCGGGCTCAGGCAATCCACTCACCTCAACCTCCCAAAGGCACGGGATTACAGGCTGAGCCACCGAGCCCGGCTTCTTCAATCTCTTAATATTAGGATTTCTATACAAGAAATAAAAGCCAGTTATCTATAACAAATTCAGAAGACACTTAGCCTCACTAGTAACTAGGATAATTAAAATTAAAACCACAGTGAAATATCATTCCACTCTCCTTAAACTAGAAAAACTTACAAAGTCTGGCAATCCTAAGTGTTGACAAGTGTGAATGCTCTTAAAAATAATAACCATTTTTGAAGATATTTTGGCAAAATTTAGTAAAGTTGAAGATGTTTATAATATAAGCATCATAAAAATGATACGATAATCCCACTTCTAGGAAAAAAGCCTAGAGAAATGTTCACATATATACCCCAGGAGACATGCACATGATTTTTCATATCATTTTTTGTAATAGCAAAAACTAGAAGTCACCTAAAAGTTTATCTCAGAGGAATGACTACATTGTGGCATAATTTTATGATAAAATGCAATATAGTAGTAAATATTCATTTTTTTGTGACTTTCACAAACAATATAGAATATACCAACTTAGAATACTGGAAGATTACATTCAGTGTTATACTATATGCAGTTTTAAAACATGCAAAATAAGATTGTGTAAGTCTGTGCATATATGATTAGGAACATATACATGTATAGTAAAAGGAAAAGTTCAAAGAAATATATGTTTCTTTTTACTACTATAGGTTATGATGGAGGATGTGGTGGAGGAGGGTGACTATAACATGGATATCAAATAAATTACTAATATTTTATGTATTAAGCTGGATTATGAAAACAATGTTATTCACTATATTTTTCCCGATACTCTTTTGTACATTTTAAATATAATACTACTTCACAGCAATTTCAAGCATCAATATCAAATAGGTACCTAAAAATGACAAGATTCATTCTAGTTTTGTGAGTTTGATTATACTCATCTAAGCATTGGTCCACAACATCACTAAAACGATGAATATTTGGAATTTCAATATAAACTCTATCATCGCCTTCAAGGTCGGGATTCATATAGTCACCAAACATGAGATTTCTTAAGTCTGCTTCTGTTACCTACAGAAAGGAAATCAACAAATTACAAAACTCAAAAAAAAATTTAAGAAAATATTATACAAGAATTTGTTTAATCCATGTTATAGAATGATTATTAATTAGATTTTTGAATATAAGGATAATAAATAATATGCTTGTAAAATTAATATCTGAAATTATATTCTTAAGAAATAAAAAGAAAAGTAGCTTTTTTCCATCATATAAGTTTTATTGTTTTTTTCTAGAGGCTAGAAAAGTCAGTTGGGTGATTATCATTTATTGAGTAGTTACTAGGTGATGGACATCATGTTAAGTACTTTGCGTCTATTATGTCATTTAATTATTATTATATGAGACTTTATTCTTTAACTATGTTACATACATTCCTCTGAAGACAAATCTTCTAACAATATACACCTATCTATGAGGAAAACCAAAATAATATGTCCATTAAGAAGTAATCATATTTTTAAAAGGCAAGTGAAGCAATTGTAACAATTCATGCTTTTGTACTGTTTTAACTTGATATGTTTTTAATCACTAAATATACTCACTGGTACATTCTCTTTCCTCAAATGTGAAAAGAGACTATCAAATGAGTCTTTAAAATAGTCTTTTATAACAGTTTTGGTTAATTTAAACAGCCAGCTTCGATCATCATCATTAATGAGGCGATCATAAAACACTCGGAGAACCTCATGCACAAACAGACGGATCATGGTGTGCTTGCTCTCCACAGCATCTCTTCTGATGAGTAAACACCCCCGGATGACTCGTGAAAAGTCACGCAAGTTGAAAGTATAATGAGATTTTGTGGGAGTGGGCAAAAGATTTTCCATGGATCGTTTATATATCTGAATATTAAAAAGCAACAAAGCAAAAGTAAAATGCTTATAATCAGCAAAGTCATGCAGCAAATAGTATCTTACAAAAATATTTTATTTATTCGATCAGATTATATTGGCTTAGAAAATTGCATAGTAATAAGCCAAGAATGGCATATACATTTATTTGCATTTACAGCATTCAACCAGGCATTATGAAGTTGAGGGAACTTAGTATTATCTGTTTCTATCCAAGCCCAGGAAGTGACATACTTTTATTTCCCAGTTATCATAGTGGTTCCTTTAAAGATGAATAACATAGAATAAAATAGCAAAAACTTTAGTAGAAAATTAAATCAGATAACTCATTCTGAAGCTTTCCACTGAAGAAGAGAATGAAATTATTTTTTTTACTATAATTGACTTCAAAGCAAATAAATTCATTGTCTCTTGCCTTTCTTATTCTCTCTCTCCCTCCCTTCCTTATCTCTTAATTGGCTATAATTTGGAAATGAAGTATATTTTTAAATTCACCAAATGTAGTTTATATTCTCTTATAGGAAGGTACATTAAATTTTTTATAATATAGCCTTAAAACAAACAAAAAAATTATTTATTATCTGTGTTCTGTGATTCATCCTCCTGCCCTTATCTCCACACATGGTAGGTCTATCATGCTTTAAAGACAAGAAAGAAAAAAAAAAGGTGGGGAAGACTTTTTCAGCATTCCATTCTACCTAACCAATTCTTTTGTCTTTCAAGGAGATGCCTAAATATAATGATATTCTATAAATAGAAGTACTTTTTTGTATTAGAATAAACATACTACCTCTTTGCTCACAGTTTCTCTACTTTAACAGCATAAATTTTCCACTGAAATTAGAGGAGAAGAACTTTAGAAGATATGATGCTCTTGGCTACTGTTGGATACTGATGGCATGATTCTAGGTAGTTTTTTGCTTCCTGTTGTAGTGATCCCAAAGTGAACCCCATTTTATCATGCTTTCAGAAGGCTGTTTGATGAGATTAACACTGATTTGCCTTTAAATGTATTTTTTTCTTTTTACCATTAGAGATAAAGCTGGTTCTGACCTCTGATCGGAGGCCAATAACATACCCTTGAAATGTCTGTAAAACCTGTATGTCTGTATAACCTTAATAACCTGTAAAAGCTTGTTTGACATGAGTTCTATCTTGTTAAAAACTTCCATTTTAGTTACATGCCTGCTGCCCAGATGCAGCACCCAAAAGCAGCCTCCTCTACATGTGTAACCACAGCTGTCCTTAGTCCCTAAGTTGTCACTTCTCCCCTTTTCTTGGAAATCCCCTACCCCCTACATTGCATCAAGCAAGCAGCAGCAGCAACAAGCAAACAGCAGTAGACAAAAGACCAAACTAAGCCAACATGTTGCTGCAAACTACTCCATCCTTGACTCTGAACCCCCTTAAAATGTAAGCTATGGTTTCTGCCTATAAAAGCCCTCTGCCTGCTTTACTCCAGGCTGAGAGTTTGCCAGTTATTAAAAAAAGACTCAGGATCTAATCTTCTATGAGTTGGTATTTTATTTCTCGCACTCCGGTCATAACACCCTAAATAAATAAAGAGTTGCTTTGGCCATATGGGCAGTCTTGTTTTCTGTTTCTCCCCTTGTATTTTCCATTTATTATTTTTTCACTGCTATTTGTGATGAAATCTAACTAAAAGTAATATATTCATCACCTGCTTAAATGTATTTTTTTTTTTTTTTGGTTTTTGGTTTTATTTTGAATTGAAGTCTCCCTCCGTCGCCCAAGCTGGAATGCAGCGGCATGCTCACAGCCAACCCAGTGCCGACCTGCTGGGCTCTGGCGATCCTTCCGCCTCAACCGGAACTACAGGCACGCGCTATCACGCCTGGGTAATTTTTGATTTATTGCAGAGACGAGGTCTTGCCAACTTGCCCGGGCTGGTCTCGAACCTGCAGGCTCAGGCAATTCACTCGCCTCGCTTCCCAGAGCTCTGGGATTACAGGCTGAGCTACCGAACCCAGCCTAAATCTATTTATTTTTTAAAAGACAAGCATGAAGCATGGGAGGGGAAATAGAGAAGAGAAAACTGACAAATATCAGAGTAGGAACCTAACAATTAGGGAAAAACCTATTATGTGGTAGATAAGAGTTCTGGGTAATGTTTTTTGTTGTTGTTGTTTTGTTTTGTTTTTTTGAGTTGGAGTCTCACTCTGTCGCCCAGACTGGAGTGCAGTGGCCTCTCCCGGCCACTGCAGCCTCGACCTGCTGGGCTCTGGCGATCCTTCTGCCTCAGCCTTCCAATTAGCTGGAACTACAGGTGCGTGCTACCACGTCTGGCTAATTTTTGACATATTGTAGAGATGAGGTCTCGCCAAGTTGCCCAGGAGGGTCTCGAACCCGTGGGCTCAAGCAATCCACTCACCTCAGCCTCCCAAAGCGCTGGGATTACAGGCTGAGCCACTGAGCCCGGCTTGGATAATGTTCTTATGACAACCCTGAGAAACAGGTATATCATCCCATTTTAGTGTTTAAAGGCAGAGCCTCTGGAAGGACAAATTACTTGCCTAATGTTACACAGCTAGAAAACAGCAGTCAAGGCTCAGTCCCACTTAGTTCTCTCCAATTTCAAAGCCTGTGATCTTTCTATTCTCAAGTATTCTGGACAGTTTCTCTGATACTAAAGATCAAAGTACGTGGCTAAGGGGAAAAATGCAATAATAATAATAATAACAATAATAATAATAGTCAAATGAGGGAAATATATAACACTAAAACATTTCACATTGCATTATTTGCTCACCTCCATAGTCCCACTGACTATCTGGTTCCCAATTATAAAGTACTCTGGAGGAAATTCATTAATCCTAAAGTAGAATCCTACAATTGATGAGAAGATTCGGATCATAGTTTCATCACTAAAAGAATTAATACTGCAGATGTTGAAATGTCGAATAAAACGAGGAGTAACTGGATTTCTTCCACCACCTGGAGGGCCCATTGCAGCAATCAGCTCTATGTCAACCAATGTGATTTTACTTGTGTCCTTAAGGTCATACCTTGAAAACACATAAAAAAATGTAAACAATCTGTTATAAAGATAATAAAATGGAATGAAAATAAATCTCCCTAGAAATTTAATCTGATTTTAGCTGTTCTAAAAGTGCCTGTAATCCCAGCACTTTGGGAGGCTGAAGTGGAAGAATCACTTGAGGCCAGAAGTTTGAGAACAGCCTGAGCAACTGATAGCAGGTTCCTATCTCTACAAAAAAAACCTGGGTGTGGTAGTGTGTGCCTGTGGTCCTAACCACAGGAGACTGAGGTAGGAGGACTGCTTGAGCCCAGGAGCTTGAGGATGCAGTAAGTTATGATCATACCACTGAATTCTAGCCTTGGTGACATCCTGGCTCAAAAGAAGAGAGAGAGAGAGAGAGAGAGAGAGAGAGAGTCAGATCCTAGCAGGTATAAAATTAGTAAGAACGTAACTGATCTAAAAAATACCATCAATCAACTAAATATAATTGACATTTGTAGGTGACTTCATCCAACAACAGCAGAATATACATTCTTCTCAAGCTCACTTGGAATATTCACTAAGACAGACCACAAACTGGGCCTTAAAATACATCTTAAACATTTTTAAAGAATAGAAATCATACAATGTTTGCTTTCAGATCACAATGGAATGAAACCAGAAATCAGTAAATACAAAGACAATTAAAAAAATTCTCAAATATGTGGAAATTAAAAACCGTGCTTCTACATAAACTTTTCTATTCTCTCAATAAATCCTGCTTTCAAAAAGAGAAAGAAAGATCTAAAATTCATAATCTAAGTTTCTATCTAGGAAACTACAAAAGAAGAGCAAATTAAATCAAAGTAAGCAGAAGAAAAGAAACAATAAGACTGAAAGCAGAAACTAATGAAATTGTAAACAGGAAATCAACAGAAAAGAATCAATGAAACCAAAAGCTGATTCTTTGAAAAGATCAATAAAATCAATAAATTTCTATTCAGGCTAAGAAAAAGAAATGAGAGGACACAAATTAGTGGGATCAGAAATGAAAGAGGACCATCACTACAGAGCCTACCGCTATTAAAAGGATAATAAAGGAATACCATGAACAAATCTATGCCCCAAAATTTGATAACCTAGAGGAAATGAACTAATTCCTTAAAAGACACAATTTTCCAAAATGCATACAAGAAATAGACAACCTGAATAGGCCTATATTTATAAAATAAATTGAATCAATACTTAATCATCTTCCAAAATAGAAAACACCAGGCCCAGATGGGTGCACTGGTGAATTCTACCAAACATTTAAAGAATAAATTATATCAATTTTCTACAATCTCTTTCAGAGGATAGAAGCAGAGAGAATACTTTATAACTCATTCTAGGAAGTCCAGCATTACCCTAATACCAAGGCCAGACAAAGACATTACGAGAAATGAAACTATGGACTAATATATCCCATGATATACATGCAAAAATCCTCAACCAAATATGAGCAAATCAAATCCAATAATAAATTGGAAAGGTTATGCACCACAATTAAGTAGAATTTATTCCATGTATGGAAGGCTGTATCAACATTCAAAAAAAACAAGTAATGTAATCCATTACATTAGCAGGATTAAAAAGAAGAATCAAATCATCATATAAATAGGTGCAGAAAAATTATCTGACAAAATCCAACACCTATTCATGATAAAAACAAAAAAAAAACCTCTCAGGAAACTTGGAATAGAGGAAATTTCCTCAGCTTGATAAAGATCATCTACAAAAAAACCTACAGCCAGGCTCCGTGGCTCAGCCTGTAATCCCGCGCCTTTAAGAGGCTGAGGTGAGTGGATTGCCTGAGCCTGCGGCTTCGAGACCCGCCTGAGCAATGAGACCTCATCTCTACAATAAATTAAAAATCAGCTAAGCATGGTAGCACATGCCTGTAATTCCGGCTACTCAGAAGGCTGAGGCAGAAGGATTGCCGGAACCCAGCAGGTCGAGGCTGCAGTGGCCGGGAGCGGCCACTGCACTCCAGTCTGGGCGACAGAGTAAGACTCCAACTCAAAAAAAAAAGAAACAAACAAACAAAAAACAAAAAAACCCTACAGCTAACATCATGCTTAATGGTGAAAATCTCCAAACCTTCCCTCCAAAATTTAGAATAAGATAAGGATATTCCTTCTCAACACTTATTTTCAGCATTGTACGCAGTGCCAGCTAAAACAATAAGACAAGAAAAAGAAATAATAGGTATACAGACTGGGAAGCAAGAAATAAAACTGTACTTCTTTGAGGATGACACAATCATCTATGTAGAAAATCTGAAATAACTGACAAAAAACTCCTGGAACTAATAAACAATTTTAGCAAGATTGCAGAATAAAAGGTTAACATATAAAAGTTAATGACTTTCTTATATAACCAGCAATGAACAAGTAGAAATTAAAAGCACAATACCATTTACATTACTACTCAAAAATGAAATACTTAGGAATAAATATAACAATGTATAAAAAAGATCTATATAAATACAAAACTCTGATGAACTAAATCAAAGTACTAAATAAATTGAGAGATATTCCACATTCATGGATAGGAAGACTCAATATTGTGAAGATGACAGTTCTTCCAAACTTAATCTGTAGATTCAATGTAGTCTCAAGTTAAAGCCCAGCAAAAAAAAATTTTTTTGGATGTTGACAATCTGAGTCTAAAGTTTATATGAAGAGGCAAAAGACCCTGAAAAGTCAACATTATTGAAGAACAAAATTAGAGGATTGACATCACTCAACTTTGAAACCTACTATAAAGCTACAACAATGAAGACAATGCAGTATTCGCAAAAGAACAGACAACTAGATCAACAGAACAGAATAGAGAGTCCAGAAATAGGCTCACGTAAATATAGTCAACTTATCTTTGACAAAGTAGCAAAGATAGTCTTTTCAACAAATGTTGCTGGAACAACTGGACATCCAAATGCAAAAAAAAAAAAAAAAAAAAAAGAACTATACCTTAGCCGGGCTCAGTGGCTCAGCCTGTAATACCGTGCCTCTGGGAGGCTGAGGTGAGTGGATTGCCTGAGCCCGCAGGCTCGAGACTCGCCTGGGCAGCAAGACCTCATCTCTACAATAAATCAAAAAATCAGCCGGGTGTGGTAGCGCATGCCTGTAATTCCGGCTACTTGGAAAGCTGAGGCAGAAGGATCGCCAGAGCCCAGCAGGTCGAGGCTGCGGTGGCCAGGAGCGGCCACTGCACTCCAGTCTGGGCGACAGAGACTCCAACTCAAAAAAAAAAAAAGAACTATACCTTTCACAAGTAACTCAAAGTGTATCACAGACCTAAATACTAAATGCAAAACTATAAAACTTCTAGAAGATAACATAGGAGTAAACCTAGTTGATCTTGGATATGGTGATGACTTTTTTAGATACAACACCGAAGGCACAATCCATTAAGGAAATAGTTGAGAAACTGGACTTCATTAAAATTAAAACTTCTGCTCTGCAAAAGACAATGTCAAGAGAATGAGAAGACAGGCCACAGATTGGAGAAAATAATGGTAAAAAACACATCTGATAAAAGATTATTATTCAAAATATACAAAGAACTCTTAAAAATGAAAAATAAGAAAGCAAGTGACCCAAATAAAAAATGGACCAAAGACTTTAACAGACACCTCATCAAAGAAGATATACAGAGAGCAAATAAACATATTTAAAGATGCTCTGTATCATATGTCATCAGGGAAATGCAAAATAAAACAACGAGGTACCACTATATACCTATTCGAATGACCAAGATCTGGAAAACTGACAACACTAAATGCTAGAGAGGATGTGGGGCAATACTAATTCTCATCCATTCCTCATGGAAATACAAAATGATACAGTTATTTTGGGAGACAGTTTTATGGTTTTTTACAAAACTAAACATATTCTTACCATATTGGTCTGCAATTGTGTTCCTTGGTGCTTACCCAAAGAGGTTGAAAACTATGTCCAGACAAAGCCCATGAACAACTGTTTATAGTAGTTTTATTTATAATTGCCAAAACTTGGAAGCAACCAGAATGTCCTTCAGTAAATGAATATATTAGTTAACTGTGGTACATACAGACAATGGAATGGAATATGGAATGACTCAGCACTAAAAAGAAATGAGCTATCAATCCACAAGAAGACATGGAGAAAATGCAAATACATATTACTAAGTCAAAGAAGCCAATCTGAAATGGCTACATATTGTATGATTCCAAATATATGGCATTCTGAAAAGGCTAAACTATGAAAACAGTAAAAGATTAGTGATTGGCCAGGCAGTGGTGCACGTCTGTAATCCCAGCACTTTGGGAGGACAAGATGGGAGGACCACTTGAGCCCAGTGGTTCGAGATCAGCCTCGGCAACAAAGCAAGATATTGTTTCTACACACACACACACACATACACACACACACACACACAATCAAAAACTTAGCCTGGTGTGGTGGCACATTCCTGTAATCCCAGCTACTTGGGAAGCTGAGATGGAAGGCTCAGCTAAGCCCTGGAAGTCGAGGTACGGTTGTGATCATGCCACTGTACTCCAGCCAGGCAATAGAGTGAGACCCTCATTCAAAAGGTTTTTTCTTTTTGAAAAAAAAATCAGGGTTGGGGTTGAGGGAGGAATGAAAAAACACTACACAGAGGATTTTTCTAGTAGTGAAAATACTCTGTACAATATTATAATGATGGATACATGTCATTATACATTTTTTCAAACTCATAGTCTGTACAACATGAAAAGAATATCCTAAAGTAAACTATAGACTTTGGGAGATTATTGTGTGTCAATGTAGGCTCATCAATTGTAAAAAAAAAAAAAAAGTACCAATGTGGTGGGGATGTTGACAATTGGGAAGGAGGATATACAGGAAATCTCTGTACCTTCTTCTTAATTAGGAACCTAAAACTCCTGTTTTAAAAAATAGTCTTCAAAAAGGTATTTTAAAAGCATTCTGAAAATTTCTGTATAGGAAAATCTGAGTAACAATTTTTGCCTATAAATAGCTTGGAAAATATATTATTTGGGTTTGAAAAACTAAAATATAAAATGAAATATGATTTCAGCATGGCTTATTGGAAATTGAATTAAATAGTTACCAATTTCCACAGTCAAAAAATTGTCGTAATAATTCAATAGGAGGTTGAGCTCCATATTTCTCCAATGCAGGCATATTCATATCGTCTATAAAAATTATACATTTCTTTCCCATAGGTGGTCCAAAAACGCCTTTGCGTCTTTTATCCAATCTAGCCATAATGATGTTCTAAAATATAAAAAAAGAAGAGTAGTAAAATTTACTTGTAAGTGAATTATGAATTTCTTATTATTACCATTGCTTATGTTAAATCAATATCAAGATAAAAACTATGCTGCCAAAATCCATGAAATTTTTATTGGTAACAGTTACTGTTTGCTTCATTTATCAATGGTTAATGTAACACAAAAGGCCATATTTTAATACCAGAAAAAAAAGTTTTAAAGTCTTTGTAAGGAAATAATGCAAGCAGCATTATGTTTGTATTTACTTTTTATTTATTCATATTTAGGATGATTCTAAACTTCATACTCAACATCATTTAAAGACTATTTATTAAGATCCTTCAATGCACTCATAGTTACATACTTATACATTTATATATTATCTTTGTATTGTACACACATGTATTTTTCTCCAATATTTTCCTCATTGTATACCCCAACATATCTGTTAAGTTTAATTTACTTAATACTGAAAAGCACTAATCTTTACAACATTTAGCAACTTTTTATAACTGACTTGAATATGGATGCTTTCTTGTATTTCTAATATTTTTGGAACTCAGTTGTTCATTGCAAAATATATACTGAACCTGTTTTCATTAAAATAAAGCTTCACAGTAAAGAAGTTCTAAATTTTTCAGCTTTAAAAAAAATTTTTAAAGATGTGGAGTACAAGTCAGGATTGGATACATAAGTGATTTATGTACAGGTGAAGTTTGGGCCTCCTAGTGGACCTCACATCACCTGGATTAGGATCAGGCACCCTTATTGATGTTATGTACCTGCCTCCTTCCCTGGTAGCGTCCCACTACTGCGAATCCCTTTCTTGTAGTATTATGCTAGATGCTCAGGGTTCACTTATGAGTGAGAAAGTGTAGTACTCAGTTCTTTGTTTCTGTAATAGATCACTGAATATGATAGACTTTAAATCCATCCAAGTTGCTGTGAAAGCCATAATTTTGTCCCTCTTTATGAATGCATTATATCCCAGTGTGTATATGTGCCTTTTGAAGTTAAGGAAATTCTGTAGGCTTAAAACAACATAAATGAGGTCAAGAGAGAAAAGATGGGCAAAAATTTTGAAATGGGGGATAAAACTGACAATTAGAAAAGGTTTTATGAAGTAGTTTCTTCTAGGCACATTTGGTGGCAAAAGGTAGGATGCACAGCTACATGGTTCCTGTCACAGAAGGTCACACAACAGCCCATGGTTTGAAAGATCCAGTAAGCAGCAAATGCCCCCAAGGACTATGTCTAGAAAGAACAATTATTTCTCCCTGCTCCTCCTCAATGTGTGGGTGTCTGTGTGTGTTTCTCTTATACTCCCTCTCCAGTTAATAAATCAATTGTTATGTCTTCTCAGCTTAGAAAAAAAGTGACAAAACTCAACAATCCAGTATTAATTTTAAAATGTTCTCTGAAATTTTTGTCATTAAAACTTAATTTTAAAATTTACTTGTAACTTCCAAAGAGTTCTAAAATTTATTTAAATTTATAGAAGATCTATATGGTTGCTTATTTAATATACAATTTTAAACATTTATCAAATAAGGCTCAACATTTAATAATTATAGACTCATGTTTCACTGTTTTTAAACTAACCTGAACCTGATTGGCACTGGTCCGTGCAGAGAAGTTAACATAAAAAGGAAAGTACTTCTCCTTTTCCAAGTGATTCATTAGCTTATCCTTCACATACACTGATTTTCCTGTACCCGTTGGACCCACAAAAAGCAGCGGCCTTTATGAAAACAATTAATAATCTTTTAAAATGGAAAAAAGTCAGAATACATTTCTACTAAACAATAATCAAACCAACTTCATGTAAAAACTCACATTTTTACCTATAATTATTATTTTTATGAAATACTGGTAAAAGTAATGACTGGTATACATTTTTGCATAATGTTGCAGAGACTATAAACTATTATTTGACTAGATACAATGTTGCTATATACAAAAACACTCATAAAACAAATGATAACATGCTTAACTTTTCAGAAAAAAAAGTCAAAGTTTGTCTCCTCAGAAAAGGGCAGTATTTGTACTTGTACAGTGCCAAATAGAATAATAAGATGACAATAAGACAGATTTAGGCTGTTTCACAGTTTAATAGCATCAAGTTTTTGGGAGAGATAAAAGTGAATTTTAAAGCTAACAGTTATGTATACTTGTTTAATAGCATTTTAAAATCAATTCATTTACTAACTGAAAATATTTTTCTAAAAGCAAACTCTAAGGAATTCCCCATTCAGTAAAGCTTCAAGCAGGGTTTACTATCCCTGAGTAATCATAACTAATTTTAAGGGGAAAATAACCATATAAGCTTATGTTCTCAAAACTAGTTTGAAATATGCTGCACTAAAATTAAAATACTGCAATTTCAAACGATAGCCTGGCACCACACAATACAAAAAGCCAAACCAAGGCCAGCATTAAACTGAATAGCAGTATTAAGTTATAGGAGGTCATCTAAGTGAACCAAATTATGTTAACATCAATTTTAAAAATTATCATTGAAGTATAAACACAAAATTAAAGTTCTTTTAGAACTAGTGACTCCTGAGAATTCACCTACATGTTCCAGTCTGAGTAACACTCACTTTATTAAAAGCTATTTATTAAAATAATTTTAATAAATAGAATACTGTTTTTAACTTAAGCCCATGGACCAGCTAAGTAAATTCTTAGAATTTAGAGAATCTGTGAACTTAGATGACAAAAAGTTTATATCTTTACTTTTTATATCCTCCAGCTACTGAGGCGGAAGGATCGCCTGAGCCAAGCAGGTTGAGGCTGTGGTGGTTATGAGTGTGCCACTGCATTCCAGCCTGGGCAATAGAGTGAGACTCCAATTAAAAAAAAAAAGGTTTAAGGAAGGAATGAAGAAATGAATGAATGGAGTCATAAAATGAGTAGACTCAATAAAACTACAATTAAATTGCATCTTTCAAGAATACAACCAATCTAAAGGTTCCTATAACTATATACTTTCCAGTTCTATTATGTAAGGTTATCCAATGCTCAAAATAAAAACGAATAAAAAAAAAATAACACTGCAACTGACTTTCAGTCTGCCATTACAAATAAGAAAAATACAAGGTGACTTATGGGGCAACAAAATATGATGGCAAGGACTTTAGGGTAAGCAATGGGAAATCTGGGTTCCAGGTTTGCCAATAGCAATAGATGTCACTTTGGATATGTTAATTAGTCCCCCAGGGTATCAGTTATCTGAAAAGAGATGATCTCAAAACTTACTTCAAAAATTGCTATCATACTATTAAAATTGCACTATTACATTTAAAATGCTTGTTTATAGTAGAATTTCTTACTTTGCATAGGCAATGCTCAAATCCATTAGAAATGTATATCTAATTGTGTCCATAGTAGGGACTATAATATCTTGAATTTTGACATGTTTATCTCCTAAATTAGTACTTTTAATCAATTCATTCCAATGGAGCCAGCGACCTCTGTTTTTCAACTAGAAGAGAATATAAGTTTTAAAATATAATAACCATGCACTTGCTATATATTGAAAAGCTCTCTTCAATACTTACACTATTATTATATTTGCTTTTAAAAACTTTGTCTTTCCCCTTTTTTATGAGACATTAGAATCAGACAAAAGAATGTATGTAACATATTTTAAAGTCATGAAGCAGATTAATAAAACAAGCATCTATGAATCTACCACTCAATGTAAAAGAATACACATTTTTATTTAGATTAATTTTCCCTTTTTAAGGATAATCTGAAAAAACGAATGAAACTTTGTTATCATAAATTCAACAACATATCTAAAGTTTTAGGTACTTTTGCCCTTATGTCTTCTTAACACTCCAACCCTTCCAAAATGCCTCCAAGATATCCTTTTACATATACCAAGTATTTATCTGAAAGCTACCCTAATGTACCTCAACTTGTAATTTCCTGGATTTTTTACTTTTTTTATATTTTAAAATCAAGGATCAATAATTAACTAAAAACAAAGTATCGCATAAAATCACTATATTTATTTCTCTAAAATTATTATCTTGGCATTTTGATCCAGGCTAATATTCAGCTGGGATATATTGCATGGTTGTATTGATTGTCACAATATTTAAATTCTTCTGATCCATTGACTAAATAGCTGCTGTCCTCACACCTCTGAATACCCCAGTCTTCATTCTGCTCCCAATCATTATTTTCTCCAGATTGTCCTGGCCCTCCCTGGAGATCCCCAGGCTTTCTAGTATCCAGCAACAAACATTTTAATACCTGGCAAAGTAAGAAGAGTCTAGAACCCTACTCTAGTGCTATGACTGGCATCTAAGAATATTTTCCTATTTTCCAGCAAATTGTATACATACATGGTGTCTGTTTGGATGGTGGTAATTTTGTAAATCTGAGTGAATGCTTCTTCAGTAATTCATATTTCTATATTTTTAAGTTTTAGCTTCTATTTTTATCCAAATTACATATACACGTTATAGAGGCAAAGTTTTACAAAGTTAAGAAAACAGCATTTCCTCACTCCCATTTTCCCCCTCTGAGGGTAACTACCTTTACCTCTTTAAGCTGGATACTTTGGTATTTACTTTCAATCTTAAAGAATATGCTTGTGTTACCACCTCTTGATTTTTTTGCTTTTAGAGATTACTTTATTGACTTCTCACTATGACTAATGGGGATAAAACTCTCTTTCTGGTCATATTCTTAAAATTCTGTCAGCATGGTTTTGGAGAAAGAACCTTACACTGTCAGTCAGGAGAACTTGGTTCAACTCCTGGCTCTGCTAGCACTAACCTTTCTAGGTTTGCTTCTTTATCTATAAAATTTGAGAGTTAAGTAAAATTGTAACTAAGACTCTAACTAGATCTTGTAGGCTGTGAAATAAAATTTGTATGAATCAAATGATTATTCAAATGCTTGCTGTTTAAAAAATGCATTTGGAAATTATTTTAAGTGGGAAAATATAGTTAATTTAGATATAAAATATTATTAAAGCAAGTTATGGGAGGAGAAACTAAAGAGACGGGACTAAAAAGCTCATTACAGGAGTCAAAGTAACTCTAAGATGAAAACCTAGGAACTTTGCTGATCCAAGGCTTTGTGTTTTATGCCTTAGCCTAACAAGAGTTTTATGTCATACCTCATACATGTAGTCATAGACTAGGCCTTTTTCATCAAATGGGCATTCCCATTTACCCACAGAGTCTGGCACTGGGTTTTCATCATCTTTTCCTAGTATGATGAGTCGTATGAAAGCATCAAAAATAAGACGACCATCTGTATCACAACTTCCTCCAATAGACCAAATCAAAGAGAATATAAAGCAAGCCTGTTGATGGAAAAAAAATTTAACTTACAGTATTTATTTTCTAAGAATTTTTAACCAAAATTTAACACACTAGCATCTGTTCAACCTACTTGGACAAGATCATATATATAAAGTGGAATGGAGCACAGTTAAGTCACATGACGAGTCATTTCTCTGGCAATAGCTATCAAAATTTAAAATGACCATATCAAATGACCTAGGAATTTCTCTTTTTAGGAATTTATGCACAAATATATTTCTAGCTGTGACTATAATATTTGTACTTGACTATTCACTGCAGCACTATTTGTAATAGCAAAAGATCTGAAGCAACTCATATATTCTTCAATAAGAGTCTGCTTAATTGGATTATGCTACATACGCTGAAATACATGCAGTTATTAAAAAAGAAGGTAACTCTGTAAGTACTGATATAGAAAAGACATATTGTGAGGAATGATACAAATCAGTACATAATGCATGCTAATTTGAACTTAAAACATATACATGTAAAAGAGTGTATGCATAAAATACTTCTAGAAAGCTACAGAGGACACTAGTAATAGTTGCCTTGATTGTGGCTAGGGAACTGACATGCATGGAAAACGTACTTTGCCTTTTGAATTTTACTCTAGATACATGCCTTATCTGGTCGAAAATAAATCAAATGTAACCCGACACCTGAGCTGTGGCGGTGGCGGCGGCTCCTGCGCTTGGGCTGGGCTGGGCACGGCGCCGCCCGGGTACTCGTGACCAAGCTAGGTGTGCGCAGGTGTCAGTGCTCCCAGGGCTTGGACGTGCCTGATGCGCCTAGCAGGGTGCAGCCCTTCACCTGGGGTGCTGGGAGGATGAACTGCTTGCTGAAATAATGTAAACAGCTTGGGTGCTGTGCTTGGAGTCCCCCAGAGCTGGGTGATCCCTGAGATCAAGCCACTGTTCCCTACCTGTCCACCAACACAAGAGGCTGACCATTCTCTGCCAGTCATAGGTGACCTAGGGGGAATCATCCTGAAGTGAAATGTCTTATAGATGGGGCGAAGACCTTCAAACACTGCATAACAAGAAAAGAATTTGGTGAATAAATGTCCTGCAGCTGCTTGATAACTCACTGACAAAGAGTTTCACTTCCAGAAGTATTTTAAAGAAAAAAGGGGAAGAAAAGAAGAGCTTATATGAAGTAGCTTGTTTGCCTTTTCCTGCTTTGCTTTTGTTTATGTACAGAGGGGAGTTTAGAAATATCTTACTTTCTCTAGTCATTCTAACATGCTCCCAAATTCTATATGACCACAAATCTTAAACATATTTGTGAGGGAGATGGGGCAAGATGGCGACGGCATAGGTGAACTGGGACCAAGACTGCAAACTGCTGAATAGACAGACTGTAAAGCAGAGGGAAAAGTGAACAAAACCAGAAGACCCTCATAAGGAAGAACAGGTCATTGCAGAAGAGAAATAAAAGCAACCCCACCTTCCCTCAAAAACAGAATTGAAGAGGGGGAGGGAAAGGGGTAAAGGGAGAAAAATCTACAGAAATGAAGAAAAACCAAAAGAAGAGTATGGGTCTCTCCCAGACGCCTGGGAGAGCAGACACTGAGAAAATTGACTTTGGAATACAAACAATGAAAAGTCCCCAGAATGAAGGGTCTCAAAATGCAAATGTAGATATCAAAACAATAATGGAGAGATTAAAAAGAATTGAGGAGACACAAGAAGAAACTAGGAAGGAGCTGATATCTGAGATAACAGTAATAAAGAATACTGTGAATGAAATAAATAACAAATTGATAAGCATGGAAAGCAGAATTACCCAAGCAGAAGAATGAATCTCAGAGCTTGAGGACCAAAATATAGAAATAACCCAAACTCTTAAAAACACAGAAAATAAGCTAAAAAAGACAGAACAAAACCTTCAAGAGATGAGTGACTACCTCAAGAGGCCTAACCTAAGAATAATCGGACTCCCTGAGGCAGAAAGAGAAACAGAGACCACATTGGAACAAACTTTCCATGAGATCATTCAAGAAAATTTCCCTTATCTAATCAGTGATG